AAGCCCAGGAACTGTCTAATGTGCCTCGTTTAATTGAGTCCATGGGGAAATCACTGAGCGAATGCGAATGCTTTTTTGTATCTCCAACATAGGATAGACTGGCAGGCACCAAAAGGCCATAACAGATCATATCACCTAACATCACTGCCCAGTGCTTAGTCTGTACGTGCAGCACATGAGCTGTGAAATTCAATTTAACCTAAAGGTATCTGACAACTGTCAGCTTTAATTCAGCTGTTTGAAAACAGGACAGAACCCTTTTTACAAATTACAAAGTTTGCACGCTTCTGCATTTTTTGTTAAGATTCAAAGGGTTCATTATATGTAGCTTTGGATGCTTTTTAATGGAAAAAAAACATCTTTTAACCACAATTGTCCTTGAATTTGACACGCATGTGCAGGTAGAGCATACAAGTGCTCTGCGCACATTTATTTATTTAGTGTGTTTAAATACTAATGTTTGGATAAAGAAAGATCACATCTGGTTATTGGAGTCAAAAGATATGTTTTAAACACCTAAGTCTCAGAAATATGAAAAAGCAACAGTGATTATGGCTGCCTTTCAGTTTTGCAGTTTATTCTTGACAGTGATTGTAATTAATATATATCCTGTTGATGAATATTTGTGCAGATTTGGCGAAGGTTGCCCTGTAAATTCATAAAAGGAACTCATCAACAATAAACTCATAACAGACTTTATCATTTATAATGGATTCATTTTAAAGATTAGACAGAATTTTTTCAAAAGTCAAATTGCCACAGTGTTATTTTCAAATTGGACTGAGGAGGTGGGTTTGTACTCGTTATACCGATACATGCTGCGAGGACTGAAATGTTAAGATGTGACATTTTGGCAAAGTGCTTTAAAAGCCCGACATTTCTGAAGCGCAATGGGTCGCAGGTATTGAAGGCAAAAATCCTCACCGGGAAGAGCGAGAGCAGCTGTCAAACAGCAGACTGCTGTCTGAAAACCACGTAAAGGAATATTTGTTGCAGGTTGTTGCTGTTTTCGAAAATGACTTGGAGAGTTCAGGGAGGTTTTTTTTTTTTCGGCATGTTGTACCTATAGGTTGATGTCCCTAAATCTGTTCACACCCACCACTGGATTCAAAAGCAGGTTAGAAGTTATTACAACTTTTACCATTTTAGTAGTGAATATTTAAGAGCTCTCTAGGACTAGGAAAGACGGTGTTTTTACTAAAATGTTGTTCAGCGTTTCATGTGGGTTTCTGGCTCTACAGCTCTACGATATTGAACACAAAGATGTGAAAGAATGGGTTTGATGGGGTTAAAGGCACAAAAAATATTGTGGAATTTCATCAAATTGACGGTTAGAAGGAAACGAGGTTCCAAGAAGTCTAAAAAGTGGGTTACCTGTCACTGCTCATCTCATCATATGTGGCCTTCTGAGCTGTCTGTAGTTTTATCACCATATGAGGGAGATCACACAGACCTTAATGATCCTTATCACCAGACCTCCCACTGATCTGTTCCAGCCTTGTTTGGCTCCTGCCGCAGCTTAGTGGCAGTGATTGTTTGGTGCACTTTATCAGCCACCAACTGCAGAGCGTCTGAGGCTTAGGCACCAACTGTCAGACGGTTTGACTGAGGGTGAAAGACAAACAAAAGAAGGCCGTGCAAAGAGGAATTGATCCCCTAATGGAACTGGAGCAAAACCAGGTGGATAAAAATGCAGAGGTGCAAGAGAAGAGAAACACAGCAGTTAGTAAGCAAGTTGGTATTGTGCCTCCTTTGTAAATGCTGCACGGGATGAGAGGAACCCCCAAAGGTCACGGTGGTGCTGTGGGTCAGTTCTCCACAGCCCGTGGGCTCAGACTCCCTTGAGATGAGTGCTTGTCTAAAGTGTTTTGTTTGCCTTGAGCCCCAGATGTGCACGCCATGACAGACCCTGGCACTGTTGTACCATCCCAGGGGACTTCATCTGCAAAATGCCATGGACTGTAACTCATCAGAGCCTCTGCCTTTTCCACAGTCATTATTCCTGCTCTCACCCTCAGACTACGGCGGGGGCCTGTCATAAAGAACAGCTGGGTCGCCCAAGCTGCTCGTGTTTCATGGAGATACCGGAGAAAGAAGGATGTGCGTTTTTGTGATGCACTGCATGAGCTCGTATCAAAGGAGCAGAACCTGAGTTCATGGAAATTGAATGAATGTGAATGAAGAGCCGGTGCAACTTGAGAAAGCAATTTTGGCTCTGGCTTTGAGGGCAAAGAGGAAATCAACAACAGCAGTGGCCGAGGAAGTGGCCTGACTGTTGGAGCTGCAACCTTGACAGCTGTTCATCATAGCAGAATTCCCCCGAGGTGCTGAGGCAGGAGGAGGAGGAGCAGGAGGATGCAATTACAGCCTTTATTCCAGCTTTTCTTGTTCCTCTTTCCTTGTGACTTTTCACAAATCCTGTGAAAAATGTTGCCTTAATCTCAGACAGCTGCAGATCTGTTTTAAGCTGCCCTCCTTTTTACCTGACGCAACCTCTAGTTGGCATTGACGTTGGAGAACAGCGGGGTGCGTTTGTGGGGCTGAAGGTCGACAGCAGGAGTGGATGTTAGCCACCTCCGCACATGGCTGAATCAAGGGCGAGCCATGAATGAGTTCATGTCACACTCATATTCATTCCCTGACAGGTTAAGAGGGAATTTTTAGGTTTGAAGAAAAACACTGTCTATTTCTGCTCCGTAGTAGGGGAAAGTTGTGGCTTTGACTCTGGTGAAACATCAAGAATAGAAGTGTTGAAACCCGTGTTGTACTCTCTATTGTTTTAGCATCTGACTGGGTTGTATTCATCATGAACATTGCTTTCCACACTTCATTTTTTTCAAGGACTATTTGGTGCAGTTTCAAGGTTACTCCTATGACTAATATCTCCAAAGCACCAAACTGTCACAGTTAGGATTACCACAGCTCAATGTTAGCAGTTTTCTGTCTCACAATAAAATAGAAAAGTCAATTAGACTAATGGTTCATGGAGTCAGTGGACAGCTGTGTCCACAACACACAATGGAAATGGGCTTTTGGCTGTTTTTTATATAAACTCATATTAAATTATCAAATACAGAGCGTTGTGTGTGTGTGTTTGATTATGTGTGTGTGTATATATATCCCCTGCAGCACTTGAAGCTCTAATTTTCTAGCTCTGATTATTCTTTGTTCGTCCCTCTGTGTGTGAGGTTGCGCCTGTGTACATGCATCTTGACTGTTGAATGTTCACTGTGAGGAGGCACAAAGTGGAGATTTCCACTGCTATCATTTTGGAAATAATATATCCTGTGAATATATTGTATGTGTTTGATTTACGGTGTTGACAGTTTGCTTAACTGCTCTTGCGTTCTCATGACAAGCGTCTGTTGTGGGTGGGTTTGCGGCTGCTGTTGCAGGCTGCACTCTCCATTTATTTATTATTCCGAGTGCAGCAGATGTAGTGCTCTCACTGATGTGACAAGAGGAGAAAGTCTGACTGTCCTATACCAAGAGCAGAGAAAGAACCTTTTCAGCCCACAGGCCCAAACAGCCGAGTGGGAGGCGGAGGCAGCAAAGGTGTAAAGGTACAACCGACGGCACAGTGCGCAAGGTAAATTTCAAAAAGTCAAGTGCTTTTCAAAGAGCTTGGTGAAAAGGAAATGTTTGTGCGAGTGCGGCGAGGTTCTCCCACACGCTCACATGTACATACACATGGATAAACAAAGATCCGAATGTGAATATTACACAGTCATTCACCCACTCTGGCCTTGTTGTGCTGAATGTTGTTGATGTGGGTGGAGGTATTTAAAACCTCATATGGTGCTCTCTGTGAAGAGACACACTGGGAGCCAGATACAATCTGCACAGAGCCGTGCACACGTTGTCATCGCAGGCACTATATTATCACAGAAAAGCTCAATAAAGCCACACCAGGTCTGTAACAAAGCTCTTGGCAAACACAAGCCTGGGCTGTGCTCTCCTCAGTGTGCAGACCACCCTCTCCCTCTGTTCCAAAAACAATATTGGAAACACACAATCTCCCCTTTCTGCCAAATATATGGGTGTTGCAAGTCTTGCAAAGGAAGCACTTTTTGGTACGAGTTTCTTTCTTTTTTTTTTTTTTTTTTGTCTTTGTCTCGTAAAACGTGTCTTATCAGGTCCCCACGGAGGTGGAAGCCACTGTGGTCTGATGGACATTTGGAAACTGCCCTGAGCTGGAGTGCTTAATTGATTTTGTGATGAGCTGCAATTAGCACTGATTACATCACAGTGAAGAGGGGTCCCTCGTGTCACTGACTGCCTGTCTGACCCCCCCCCCTCTTCTCCCCCCAGGTATCCTTTCCCAACGGTGTTCAGCAGCTGCAGCAAAAAAGACCTGACGGCCAGTTTTGAGAAAGGCGTGGGGATGTGTCTCTTCAACATGCCCGAGGTCAAAGTGCTGTACGGTGGGCAGAAATGCGGCAACGGCTACGTGGAGGAGGGAGAAGAGTGTGACTGTGGTGAACTGGAGGTGAGAGTCGTATAGCTCACGGTAAACATTCTTTGTTTTTATCTCCAGACAGACTGTAATTTTCCCCGCACACTGGTTTTACTGTGTGTCACAGCTGCCAGAAAGAAAATCTCCTCGATGAGTACCTCCCATTAATCATTTTTAATTATGTACCCCACATTTAAGAAGGAGCAGTAATGTGTAGGTTTTCTGACACAAAGTAACTTTTTCCCAAAGTAAAAGACAAACACAGCAGCGGCCGCCTGCTCTCAGAATGAGTGTGATTCCTCTAAGTAATGTTCTCAGAAAATATATTTCACACTGAAGTTTCAGAAAATCTCATAAAAAACCTTTCCCAGTCTGGAACCAACCAGACCAGCCACAAGAATAATCACAACTATAAAACCTTTGATTGGGAGGAATAATATTGCAATATGTAATAAAAGGCACAGCTGTAAAACTGTGTGAAAAATCATTTCAACAGTAAAGCATCACATCTTTTCGAATTTTGCTTTTTTGAGTTTTAGAAATGTCTTCAGGATCAGATCTAAAAAGAAAATAAAAACAGGGTTTGCAAATCTATAATTTTGTAAAGGAACATTAGACCTCGATTGCACAGGCAGATAACAGAGCTGAACACGTCCGTTTCCTAAATAAAGATGTTTTAATGTCAAGTTTTCTAAATTCTCTGTGCAGACCCCGGCTTCATGCAGTCACACATTAAAGCTGTCTCTGTAAAACTGTGTTAATTTCATGCCTTACGGCTTTACAGCATCATATAGTATAATTTTCTTTTCATGAGTCTACATTGGATGGTTACCAAGTTATGGCTCATAATTAAAACTTCTCTCCATTAAATTATGGGATTTTTTTTTTTTTCTCGGCGCTGTCTTGTAAATGACCTTACAGAAAAGATTGTGAATTTGTTGTTTCACCAAACAAAGGAGTTGTTTGGGAGGAGTGTTGTCTCATCACAGCACAACTCATTCAGTGGAAACATCTCTGACAGCATCGCAGTGTCGACTGATGAATTATTTAAATGACTGCACATTGCCATGTGTGCAGGAAGTGTTATTTAGCAGCAGCCATTTCGACCGACTGTCAGTGGATAAACTGCCTAAAGTGATAACACCTGCAGGGGGCGTCTGTTAGGACTAAGACATTAGAAACGTTTTGTTTGATACCATTACTTGACCCCTTTATGCCCTTAGTGCCTTAGGGTCTCATACTCAAGGGATAGGTGTTCAATGTCGAAGAAACATTTAATTAAAAAACAATTTAGAAAAATCCGTTTTTGCCTTATATAAATACTGAACAATGCCATAGTGTAAATCGATAGTTCAAATGTTTTTTAAAAAATTCTTAAATAACCAACTAAAGCATTTTAATAATTGACAAAAATAATCTTACAAAACATATGAATGAGCATGAGATTGTTATTTACATCTAGTCATGGGCCTGATGTGAGGCGTTCACCGGCCAGAAGAGGCCCTAGTGTATTTGTGGTGAAAGGCTAAATGTCCTTTAAAACAACGTCCAATGAAGTCCCTCAGATCAGGGCCAGAAGATGTAAAACTCTTCTCATTAACAAGCAAACCCAAGTCACTCAGACCACGTTAGCTCTGACAACACCTCGCCCCACCTACAGTAGAAAGCTACGTCCTACTCCATGCGGCCTCAGGCTGCTTCCCTTCAGTCAGACTCCTCCAACTCTTTTGGCACATATGGACCATGGGAAACCTTAATGGTTTTTTGGGCTAACGGAAATCTGGAAGGTCCATCATGTCATCTGTACATCCTGCCAGCTCCGTCCATCTACTTCTCCATGTTCAGTGAGATCACAGACTAATGGCAAGGCGGGAAATGCATCTGAGCGTTCAGAGCGGTCTGCCCTCTGTGACATCATACACGTATCACTCATACATCAGTGTTGGTGGAGAGCTTACTTGCACTTGTCTCAGGATGTTTAAAGCTGGGTAGTGCTGCAGGGAGTGGCTCGGAATGAAGGTTTACATCAGACAGAGCTGACTTTATGGTAAGAAGAGAAATAATGAACACATTTTATAGCAGAAATCTGAGGAAGATGTCATGGAAACAGAAAATGAAATATTACATATTCTGATTTGTTTGTTTGCTTGGCGTGCTCCTCGACTTAAATTGACTGTGGTTGTAAATGTGAGTGTGAAATGTAAGGGTGAGTGCTCTTAACACAAGAAAATACATTTCTAAATTTTAAGTTTGGCTTTGAACCAGCTTTCCCAGCATAAAGCAGTATGATTAAAGCTGTGGATAGATGAGGCTAATGTTGGATTTTGGCAGACCACTGCTTTATGATGAGGAAAATCACATTTAAGTATATTAAAATCATTCATCCTTTCCTAGTGGAGATCAGATAAAAGGCATTCTGCAGCCTGGACAGGTCAAACTCTTCTTTTTATAACCCGCATTATTTTAATCTCCAGCCTGTGTGGAACTAGTACTCAATGAAGGAAGCCTTCACTTACACACAGAGAACATGCAGAGAATATTTTAAAACAAACAAACGTGATTGAGAGTGAACATTAATTAGACATTAAACATGTTAGCATGTCAAATCATTAAAACATGTTTTTTCCATTTGTCTTTATTTTTTGTGTTAGCCAACTTCACTCTGTTACAACATATCTTGTTTGTGTTCTCTCTTGTCTTTTTCCCTTCTCACCATCCAACTCACAGCTACAGGGGTCTGAATGAGTTTGTAAGTCCTGTCAGATGGAAACCTTTTTTTTTTATTTCCCGAAAAGCAGAAGGTGCTGTTTCCACTCTTGTGCCAGATTTTTTTTTTCTCCTCTAACGTGCTCCTGAGTGCAGTCCCGCTGGGCTTGCATTCCTTCTGATAACAAAGTCTGAGCACTTTCTCAGAGATGAAATACAATCAATTTTTGTGTTGGGCTAAATTTTTCTTGACATACATTCACTTTTAATTTCATTTTCCACCACCCCCCACCCCCAATCTTAGGAATGTATGAATCCCTGCTGCAATGCTACGACCTGCACTCTCAAGGGGGATGCTGTCTGCGCACACGGACAGTGCTGCCAGGACTGTCAGGTCAGAAATCACCGCCTCGCCTGGTGTGACAGGTTGTTCAAAAGCATCTTGGCATAAAGGCGTTTTCTCTGATTAAATTAAAGTCTTAAATCACCAGCAGAACAAAAATAGAGGATAAATCTCTAATGCATTTCGCAGCTGCTCACATATTTATTACATTTATTTGGTTTTTATTTTTCAGTTTTGCAGTCTACTGTTAATTTCCTGTCATAGGATTTCAGTGGGTTCTCAAAATATCGGCATGTTCTTCAGGGAGCCTGAATCACCTCAGGATTCCCAAGCAGTACCTGGACTGCCTACATCACTGTAGTATCCTTGTGTCTGAGTTTTCTGTTTTTGTTTCACATTTACTGTTTCTGGCTGCAGCTGAAGCCAGCAGGAACCCCCTGCCGTGACGCCAGTAACTCATGTGATCTGCCGGAGTTCTGCAACGGCACCAGCCCTCACTGTCCCGCCAACGTCTACCTTCACGACGGCCACGCGTGCCACAGTGTTGACGGCTACTGCTATAATGGCATCTGTCAGACCCACGAGCAGCAGTGTATCACACTGTGGGGACAAGGTATATAAATGTCCACGTTCTACCTCGCGGTGTCCTCAAAATGGTTCGTTAATGGATTCATTGTTTGTCGCAGGAGCAAAGCCGGCACCTGGAATCTGCTTTGAGAAGGTCAACTCAGCAGGTGACCCTTATGGCAACTGCGGAAAGGATGCCAAAGGATCCTTTGCTAAATGTGAAGCACGGTAAGATCTTCTTCTTACGTTGGAGGAGTGAGAAAACCATGTTTGTCTTGATTACTCTGTGTGCAGACTTTGTTTTTTTTTAGCACAGCCAGACCAATTTGAATAAGAGGACATTTTCATTGCAACCCACTCATAATATATGTGACCGACCTCGGTCCTGCAACAGTCAGCTGATTCAGCGATCACTTGTTAAGTAATTAAAAAGCACACATGCCAAATTGGCTCCAACCTTTTGAAATGATGAACTTACTTTACCTTTATGACATTTGGACTGCTTTTAATTCCTCCCCCAAAAAAATGTTTCTTTCCTAAAATGCACTATTCACACTATTATTGTCCAGATTCAATTATTTATAGGCAACCTGCCTGTTAAATAATGCAAATGTTTTCATTAGTGCACGGCTACATGACAACATCTCAGGTTGGGGTCTAAAAACAGCACAAGTCAGCTGCCTCCTCGTGACGCATCTCTAATGGGACACAAAGTTTGAGCTGAAAAATAATCTCACACCATGTGCACTGAAGGCAAAATCTGTGACATGTGATTCAATCATCACATTGTTATCGTTAGCCCTGTTGTTTGTTCTATTTGCAGAGATGCTAAATGTGGCAAAATCCAGTGTCAGGGAGGAGCGAACCGCCCTGTGATTGGCACAAACGCAGTTTCCATCGAGACTAATATACCCCTGCGGGACGGGGGGAGGATACTGTGCAGAGGTACACACGTCTACCTGGGGGACGACATGCCCGACCCTGGCCTGGTGCTGACGGGCACCAAGTGCGGAGATGGCATGGTGAGATCTGAGGCCTGAGACTGTAAAATTTCTGTTGTGAAACCCAGGTGTTTTATAAAAAGCATCGTTGTGCCATTCACAAAAATGAAATTCAAATATTGTGTTAATGCTTAAAAATAAAATAGAAACACATTATGTTCAGTGTTTTAAACAACATAAGACATTTCCAGAAACTCTCTGCAGTGTGTCCTTTAGCCGTTTAGCCGATTCACACGGCCCTCCAAACCCTCCATTAGTCAGTATATTTGGCACCATCAGTGCCCATCAATTCAGCCATTGGTCATTTCAGTGATACTTTGACTCAATTTAGTCTAATTTACTTCTCTGTGGGTCTCCTCTAACGGAATGGAAGAAGCTTTTCACCTCATCTTTAAGTTCTCTTGGCATTTTTCTGCACACGCTGCTGCCAAGTTTGTCTTCATGCAGCCTGAATATATTGTGATGTTTGTGAGGACATGTATAATGACTAAAGCAGCTTAAAAATAAATAAGTGAAAAAGGAATTCTAGGCTACACTCAGTATAATCCTGTGCCATGCTTATACTCTAAATGTGTAGAGGATTTTCAGTAGGTAATAAAAAAAGAGGCTGTGTTGGTATTCACCTTGTGAAATTTAATATCTCAAAAATAATCCCAAAAATGTTTATTTTTCTATAGCCAGTAACAATTTGTTCTTTTTTCGGTCCTATTGTGTTTCAGATGTGTCTGAATCGTCAGTGTCAGAACGTCAGTGTTTTTGGTGTCCACGATTGCTCAGCTAAGTGCAGCGGACGAGGGGTGAGCTTGGCAGCCTTTTCACAATTTTTTTAATGAAAATAGATTTTTCTCAAAAAAAAAATTCTCAAAATAGCCTTCAGAAGGTGTCATCATTCTTCATACAGAGTAGTTTTTGGGCTGTGATGTGTCAGAAATTCCTGGTACAGCCAGGCTAAGGAGACATTACACTGACGCGCAATCCATCAGTTTGGATGCTGAAAGGTTCAATCAATTAGTTATAATGGCTTTATTTATGTTCAGCCCTCAACGCCATTCATCATACTCTCAGTCAGTCGTCCTTGTCCTAAAAACTGTTGAAATATGAGGGCTCGGCTTTGTTTGGCTAAACGCAGGGAGCAGTGACACACGGCTTGACTTTGAGTGAGGGAAGCTCGGTTATTGGATTTTCTGAAATGCGTCAATGGGTGGTCCGGTTTGAGATGAAATGTGCAGCTTTGTGGTATTAGCCTGAGGTTTGCTGGTCAAGCCCACAGGCCCTGACTGTGACTGGTGGAGTTTTTCCCTCATCAAAACCACAGAGGAAACACGTTTTTTTACTGCCTCTTAAATGATACATCTCCAGTTATTATACGAGCATATTTGTTTGCCGAGATCCAATTAAGAAATATCCATAAAGCTCCAAGGACGGTTTAAGTTGAAGAAATAAAATGATGTTGCTCCTCCAGGAGTCCCGGCACCCCGCTTTCACAGATTAGCTCAAGATGTTTCCTTTGGACGAAGGCCCTCACCTGCTCTGTATTACTCTGCTGGGAAACCCTCTCAGGTCACTGCTGTAGCCTCATTCATGGCTGTTTGTTGACTCTAGTGTCTGTGACTAAAACAACCCTGAAAGAAAAGCAATCAATAATGGCTTTTTTTGGGGTTTTTTGGGGCTGTTTAAACAAATGTTTCAAGCAAACATTCACCTCGTTTTGTGCTTCCAACAGACTTCAGTAGTAATTTGTATTTTTGATGAGTTGAATTAATGAAAATTAATGACTTGAACAAACTATCATTTATCATCAGCGGGGCACAGTAATCACCATTTGACACCAAAGTGAAATGAATCAAGTCTGCATCCAGTTTTAGTTCAGATCTTTTCAGATTTCATGGTAAAAACAAAGAGCTGTTCATAAAGTGAAAAGCTGATGATAAACAGGTCACTTTTTCTTTTTGATACTTTGCAGATCTGCAACAATAAAAAGAACTGTCACTGTGAAGCTCACTGGGCACCTCCATTCTGTGACAGGACAGGGTTGGGAGGGAGCGTGGACAGTGGTCCCATCAGGTTCGCAGGTAGGTCTGAAAAACATCAGACTGATGAATTATTTAAAAGGTTAAGCATAGAATTGTTGGCCGGAAAAAGGAAACTGTGCTGTTACGTTTCCACAACTCATACTTTCTCAAAAATGTGTTGCTCAGAATTCGGTGTAGGTAGATTAAGCCAAATTACTTTACTATAAAAGAAGCTGAGGAAGGGGTAATGAGAAATTAGGAAAGTATTTACCACTTCTTGTCATGATAGCAAACACATTGACTCTCAGCCCTAACTGTTCCAGCCTGTTTGAAGAACGGATTTAATGTAGTTACACAAGAAGTTGATGTTATTTTCCTCAAATTATACCAGCGTGTTAGAAGGGGTAGTGCAGGGCTCCCCCAAAAACCCCAGGCCACGGGGAGAAAATGAACAATTTTACTTCTAATTTAAAGAGAGAGTGAATATGAATCATTTCCATTCATTTACTTCATTTTCCAACAGAATTAAGTCTAGACCTTTTATTTTGAAAATGTACTTATCCTTAATGATCCTGCATCATCTCCTGGTCAATGGTACAAAAAAGGACTGGGGACCGCTGGTAAAGTGCATCATAACAGTGACCACAGGAAATTTGAAGCTGCTGAGATTTTCATTAGCAGTTACCAGGCACTGAGGAGAGACGGGGGACACACTGGACAAAATGTCACAGATTTAGCTGCAAGACAGGGGGGGCAGTGGAGGGAGACCCGTGAGAAAATTTAATGATCTAAGAATGGAGGACATGAGAACAGTAGGTGAAAGAGTAGAGGAAATGTCAGAGTAAGTGGAGGGAGACTGTGCTGACCCCTGGAGGAAACAGGAAACTAGTAAATCTGCAGACCTATTGACAGATGTCCTCTCGCTGTAATTACTATAATATACAGTGAGTTTGACTTTGTGATTGCAGACCACTTTGGACCATTTAGAATCTGTCCAAATGCAGCAGATTGGCTCTTTACACTTCTTTCACATCACATTGGTTTTTATCGTCTAATCACTAGATCCTGGAAAATATTAGGAGAAATACCAATATTTTTAACCCTTGGTGTTTGGATCTGGTGATCACATGGTGATATGACTCATTAGAGCTATACACAATTGAGTCGTTTGTTGTTTTCTTTGGCAGGTTTTTTCCTAATACTCACAGTCGTCTTTGTTTAAGAACTCTGGTGATCACATTTCTTTTATCGTGCTGTCTTCTTCTTCTGCTTCTTCTTCTTATTTCTGTGGTGTTGTTCCCACACAGATACCACAAACCTGACGGTGGGCATCCTGGTGGTTCTTCTCACCATCCTGGCTGCTGCTCTGATCGTCTACATCAAGAGAAAAACTCTACTGAGTTTGCTGCACAACACTAAAAAGAATCCAATCGAGAAACTCAGGTGTTTAACTCTGTGCTCTTCTTTTTAACTGCAGGAGGCTTGTTTTTGTTTTCAATGCAGCAGTGTTTGAAAATGCTAAATATCCATGACGGACGCTGCTGAGCGGCAACGTTTTTCGACTGGTCACACTCTAGTGGCAATTACTGTGTATAATTTGTTTTCATTTTATAATTTGGAATAAATTAACTTTGTAACTGGCGTATTATTAATATGATACAGTGTGTAATTAACATTATTATAATCTGCTATTGGTATTCCAGATCTGTAAGTGCAGCAGTCAGCCGACCATCCACTCGAAGCCGGTCTCCATCAGTGAGCACAACTTCTGCCTCTGGGCCAGCCCCGCCTCCGCCACATGGCGCTGCCATCTTCAAGGTCAGTGGAGCAGACAGCACTGCACAACTCGCCGCTTGATGGCGAACAGTCGAGACTCAAGTGACTCAGGCAAACGGGGAGGCACCGGTGCTGAATCCTTCCTGGAATGCCACATCTGTTCTGAAGGCACAAATCACTCTCTGCTGGATCGACGTGTTGTTTTCACACGAGTGGCAGCTCATTCAAATCCAATTAAATCATCCTTTCCTATAAGGGCGTGTGGAGGAGGCTGCGATAATGGAGTCTGTGGTTAACAGTGTGTTCATGACACTTGAATATATTTCTTGTCATTAATGGCTGCGTGTTAAGAGCAACTGCATAATCTGTGCCCCGACACGTGAGCCACAGCGTTGGAGGCCGCTTGAGATATCACATCACACTGTTATTGATAATTGCAAGACAGAGGAAAGGGTTTTGTTTTATTTTTTGCTATAACGACGTGTGCCTGCATCAGTTTGGGCCTTAACTACTCCATTACTGCCTTGACGTGCTTTATAATGGGACGTGACCTGTGATCGATTGAGTCGCCGGTGCTGAAATGAGAGGAGCTGTGTCCAAATTGACATTTGTGCTGCGGGGCGCTGGAACATGAACTGAGGCGGGCTGTTGCACATGTAGCGTGAGATTGTGTTTTCAATTAGATGCATGTGGTTTTTATTTAAGGTCAACGGTAAAAGAGGGAGAGGATGTAAGGGCGTTTGATGTGAATGTGGTGCAGGTGAGGTCATTTTCCTCTTGTTGGGACGTTTGTAAAACTGCTGCACGGCCACATGAGTACACATGTCTCCGTGCAGTACGTTGTAGAATTTAAACTGCATTGGCTTTAATAAAATGCAGACCATTTTTTTGGCTAACTCTTGTGTCTGATGTGAATTAGACAGTGTGCGTCTGAGACATTTTCACATCCACCTTTAAACAAGACCAGGGAGTGCTTGTGACGCTTGGTTTTCTTTAATAGGTTACTTGTTGTAGACAAAATGGAGAGCAGACGGTTGGGAGGAATGATTTACAAATCATTGACAGCGTCAGGAAGTAGGAGGTTAACATGGCTGTTTCTGATAAGAAGCAGACCTGTTCTCTACTAAATGACTCTTCTGTCTTTGTCTTTCATCTTTCCACAGCCGTCACAGCAGGGGCCGGAGACGGCGGGTCCACCAGCTCCTTACCCCTGCCACAGCCTGCGCAGACTGCCCCAGTGCCCCCCAGTTCACCTTAGCCATCCTGTCCTCCTGTCACTCCCCATGTCCCTGTCCCCAAACCCTGGACAGCTCAGACCTTTGGTGCCTCCACCTCACAGAGCTGCTGCTCCTCACAGAGCTGCTGCTCCTCACATCCATGCAGTACCGAGGGGGGCTTCATTTCGCGCCACTCCGAACCATAACTCCTGTAGGACGGTCACGGTGAGTGCTCCCTCTGTTTTCTTTACTTGGAAACATTTTATTTTATGATGTTACTCGCAGCACTTTCTTCGTCATCTTCAGGGAGCTCTCGCTCCCCGCCACAGCTCGTACAGTAACACCAGATCAGGCAAACGGTGTTGTTCCCTCCACCTTAACACGGGGCCGTTGTGATGTCAACTGTTTTCATGGTTCTTTCGTGCCTCATAAAAGTATATGCATGTTGACAGTTATGCATGGTCCCATAAAATAACAAGGTTAGCCCAGGAGCCTGTGTCGTCCAAGGAAAACTTCTCCTCTTCCATACAAACCACCACATAAATAATGAAATTGCAGGCAGCCTCTTAAAGCCAGGGATGAAGAAGATGAAAAAGAAACCGGAGTGAGGCGGTACGTCTGAATGCAGCACACTGATGAAGTTACGATTTGGCAACAACTTTTAAGAAGCCACAAAGACAAAGTGATAAAGGGATAAAGATTGTGGAGATAATGAGGAGCAGGGTGATGGGAGGAAATCACTGCAGCTGAGGTGCTCCTTCAAAGATCCCTGACGTGTGGATGCTGCCTATCGCAATTAAAAGTTGAGAAGTTAAAAAAGAGATCACACGCATGTCGGAATAATTGCCAACTGCACGGTTTGCAAATGAAGCAATGAGTCGAAACAGAGAGCCACATGATGTGGGCAAGAGATCAGCGATGACTTGCAGACCATGTCCAACCACAGCAGTGACTACAATTAAGTCATCAGGCCTCGACTTGAATTTGTAGAACAGCACCGAAGTGGTGCAGTGGAGCCGCTCAGAGGTCACTCTGTGCTCTGTCACTATCAGGCTAATTAGAGGTGTGTTAAACGGATAATGATATTTTGGTTCCGTCTGGATTAATGGAAGTGTCAGACAGGGAACGTGGCTATAAAACAGAATGTTGTTCTGGAGCTGTTAATTATTGGCTACTTAATGATGGACTTTATCTACATGCAGTAAGACGTCTTTGTAATTACTGCAGTATTTTCACTGGGACAGGATACACTTAATGCTCTTTCATATTTTAATCGCTCAAGGTATGTTTTTTTTTTTAATTCGGGGAGATTGAAAATAAAAATCCTCTTGTTTTGAGGCACAAAATGTAAAAAAATGTAAGATTCTAAATTACTCAATCTCGAGGAAGCACACAAGTGCGATGTTCAATTCAGAATAAGTAAGGTTGAGTTCAATTGTTCAGAATGTTTACATATATGCAATCAATTGTAGTCAAACGCTCTTTGCCCTACATCTGGAAGTGCTTACTGTGACACAACTAATACGAGAAACAGACTCTTAAAAAAAGGACAAATCTTTTTTATTTATATTGAACTTTGATTTCAGTCTAACCCCTAACATCTTCACCCCTGTGCAGCACTTACAACATCTAGAGCTCACGTATCATGTCTTTGTTTCTGAAGCTTCATGGTTTCCACTGCAGTGTTAGAATCATATCAGTCGTATTGTAAACAACTGTATACAGAAATACGTTTCTCCATTGTAAAATGACGTAACAACACATGGCTTCACTGAAGTTGCCCGTGCATATGTAAAGAAAGGTGTTGATTATTCATACTTTAAGGTAAGTGTGCACTATAAAAAGCACTTCACCCTTAATTCACCCTTAGATGTTAGTTAATGGTACACCGTACCTTCAAGAAGAACAACCAATGTTTGTCATGCTTTCAGGGTTAATGTAAGTTCACTGTGCGTTGTTTGAGCGTTGTGAATTAATGACTGATGACTTAGTAATAGTCCAACTACTAATGGCATCATTGACTCTCTGACTAGAACCCATCTGTTGTACTTCATATCCTGGTAAAACAGTCAAACCAGAGACCTCTATTCAGAGACCCGTGCTGTAGAATATACTGTTCTTCCAGGGTCGCTGCTCTTGCCTCACCTGTACAGTGAGGTTGCTGCGGCTCCTGGCAGACCTCCGACTCCTGACCTATGACAAGAAGTGGATTTTCGCTCCCAGCCGCTTCTATTTAATGTCAAAATTGTGAAAGAGATTCCTCTTGGCAGCAGACTTCTCCAACAGTATCTTTAGCAGCTGTTTGGCAGCTCGAAGACATCTTGACAAAGCCTTTCCACCCCCTCCCCAACCTCCCCTTCACAAGCAGAGAGACACAGAGTAGATTCTCCCTGCTGGGGGGCATGAAAGTGTCTTCCAGTCAGATTCCTTCACCTGATGGAGCCAACAGGTTTTCAGACTGAACTGATAGATGAGTTCAGCTGAACCCACAGCAAACATTTTTTGGAAAAATCACCTGACAATAAAACACCGCTCCATTCATGTCCTTGCACTTTTATCCACTTTCACTGTAGTTTCTGTGCACAGTCTGAGGGGGGCAACACTGGAGGACAGTATTTAAACCTGCACCATATGCAGTGACATACAACTTATGAGTATAAACGGAGACATCCGAGACTTGACTGTGGACTAGTTCCTCTTTGTGATGTTTTCAGAGGTTGTAGACGGAGACGTAGATGAAGTGAATGGAGACCAGATGGACCTAGGTACTAGGACTCCATCATGACCTCAGTCCACTAGGAAAGATTGAAACCACATTGCAACTTGCTCAGGCAGCACTGCCCCTCTCCTATCTGAGAATATGACATGAACATTGAGCCTGTGAGTGGCTGTTAGTTGACTGTTGGTGCCACCTGCTGGAGACTTTTGGTCAATGTGTTTCTTTTTTGCCAGGAGTTGGAGGAGTTGCAGAAACCCAGCCCTCCACAAAAGCCCCTGCCTGCTGATCCAAGGAGCTCTCGTCTGGTTAGAAGTCCTACAGTAGTGCAGGGCCAGTCCATAGTCCAAGGCCCTTCTGCTGTGTGTGGCCCTGCACCAAAACCTCGTGCACCAAGACCCATGAGACCTAGCCCACATCCGAACAGGTGGGTTCCAGTGTTTTTGGATCACTCATAAAAGACAATTTAAACTTTATTTCTTAAACGCTTCCTTGTTTTTCCACAGACCCAGTCCCAAACATCCTCCCACTCTACCAAAGCCTTTCGTAATTGCAAATGTCAAATACAGCAGCTGAGACGTTGGCCAAAAGGGACGCTGATGTGAATAAGACACTAAAGAAATTGCACTAAAAAAAACTCAACATATATATATATAAAAAAAACCAGATGGTTACTTCCCTGACTTTTGAATCAGAGAGACCAGTGTTGTCCCTTTGGTGCTCTGTCTCTGAATGGTGCTACGAGTCTGCGCTCAGGTACATGTAAAGTATTTATAATGTGTATTTATTGCCACACAGTGCACTGTGCCAGACACTTTTACTACACAGTAGAAATGTGGACATTTGAATTTGATGTTTTTGAATCAACATTACACGCTCATTTTCTTTCACCTTCTAGTGAGGTAAGGGATGGGAAACAGTAAAATTGTGATAGCACAAAGAGTGGGCACCACTATAAGACAGGACTACCTTTCCAAATGGATTATGATTTGGTTGTGAACACTGTATGAATAATGACGGTAGACTAGAGAGGCATTATAACACAGAGTTTACTATGTACCAGGATGGTGTATTTGTGTACATCACATTAACCAGTGTCATTTTTTTTCCATTTACAAAGATCTACAGTTCAACAAAAGGGCTCCCTATTTGAAAATACAACAGACCACTTTGCCCTTTTTATTTAATACATTGTCAAACCGATGACCCAACCCTTACTTTACAGTAGCTCTTAAAATCCCCTTACCCCTAATCCTAACCCATATCTTATTTTTTAAATGAAAAAAAGTGCCATTTTTACATCTTTTTGCAGTATTGTCAAGTTGTACTGATACTTCAGTGTGTATTATGAAGGGAACCTGTTCCATATACATATGTAAAGAGTGAAGAGTTACTGATGAATGATGGGTGAAGTGTAGAGAACAGTTTTTTAACCAACCACAGTGAGAAAGTTTTTTGAAAGGTTAAAAAAAAAATTCCGTCTCGTAGCCCAACCAAACTGAAAATCTAGACGAAAGAAAGGAAAAGAGATTCTTCCTTCAGCGGCTCGACCATGTGTCTGTCAGCATGATTAAGAAAACTCAAACACTGTGAAGCCCTAACTTATTTATATTATAGAGCAGTGACAAGTGGGATTGTGAAATGTCACTGATTTGCCATTTCCTTTGTAATAACAAGCCCCCGAGAAGCCCCCACCAGGGATGCTGGTGCTGGGGTATGAACTGAGCGTGGATCTAAAATGAGCCGAGATCAGTCAGACATTTATTTCCCAGAGAGAGTAGCCTTTCCAAGGTAATTAAGGTCGATGGTGTTGGATATTTGCAAGTATGTGTCAAAAAGCAGCTGTAAGTCACTGATGCTGAGTCTATTCAGATCAACTTTACCTTTTGGGTTTTTCTTTTCTCATCCTAGATACATAAATCTGACGTGAGAATGGAACAGCTTTGTCTTTTGCTTCTACAGATTTACTGCACCGCAGTGCAGCATATATCCACTCACTTTCTGCAGCGTTTCTGTTAGGCACAGCTTTTATAGAAATCCATAGACTGAGAAGTGACAAAACCTGAACGTCGGACAGTTGTTCACCTTTGATACTGTTTCTATATGTTGTCTCTTATTCATTGCTATTTTTTAAGTTGCTCTTTTCAGGTCTCCATGTCCTTGTACTAACAGACAGCCACTGGACTGAACCCTATATCCATGAACTCTGTGCTTTGGTATGTTTCACCTGTGAACACATTTTTGCAGAGTGTTTTTTTAAGTGAAAAATGTTTGATACGTTACATGTTAAAGAAAAAAAAAACAGCTTTGTCAGTGTGTGATCACGGTGTTTTGATCGCTGCCGCAGTACAAGTAAAAACTGTCTTTTTCCAAACGCAGAGAAGTCATTAATGTGGAGTTGTTGTTTTTTTTGTTTGTTTGTGTTTTCAACCACAGAGGCCTAAAATGAATATGTCAACTTGATGAAAGACGCAGTTGTACAAAGGCAGTTTTATTGCAGTTCTACTCTGATAGAATACCAAGCTGTAACTTAAAATAAAAAAAACACCACGACAGCGTTTAGCAAAGTAGAACCATGAAGTCCGTAGCCTCTAGTGGTTATGTTGTGCTCGTACACAAAAAGATAATAATGGACTAGAATAAAGGACACAGCATGTCAGTGTAAAGGACCAGACAAAAAGGCTCATGAAACCTGATTTTAACATCAAATAAATACAGAGAGGGAGTGACAGTTTTGTTCCCTTAAAAGGATTTAAAAAGTTGAGGAGAGTGCACATGCTCTCTTAGTGTTTGGTGTCCTCTCAGTAGAGGCTAGAAAAACACATGATTCATGATTCCAAGCATTTTATTTTGTGTGGTTAACATGACCTCTGTCTCATCTTAGAGAGTTTTTTTTTATTCATGTAAACATTTGTTGTTTTGACAGGGGGTGGTGACCATGAGTTCTTTCCTGCATTGCTGTTTGTGCTATGATTTAGCCGAGTTGACAAAATTGTTTTTTCACTATTGTCTGAGCTCTGACCCAGTTCATAGATGAATAGGACAAGGCCAGCCATTGTGATTGTATAGGACCGGGACAGTGTCAAACAAGCTGGATAAGGACAAAGAAAAGGCTGTGTGTTTTATATTTCAACATTGAAAAAAAGGCATTTAATTAAAAATGATTTGCAGGGCATATACACCATTTAAGGCCACACATTTGAGATTAAGATCTTAATTTTTTTTTTTTCATGTGGTCCTTTTTGTCCTACTACAAATAATTCACATCCTGGTCCTTCTCCTTTTAGCTGCCCCCTTCAGGAGTCGCCAAACTGTTTCCACATGGCTTTGAATGAGATCAGAAAAATGGCAATGGGACCAAGACTGTTTTATTGAATCCAACATCATCACATACACTGTAGATGTGGTAATACAGTATACTACAGAGCGGTGGTTCCCAACTACCATGCTGCAGAACACCAGTGTACCACAACAGATTACCATGTGTAGCATAGAAAATGATCGTTTTTATTTTATTGATCTGAACATCAGTGTTTATTTACTACAGATAATTTGTCTTCACTCTGTCACAGTAACAGGCCAAACATTTAAATACTCTTCCACTGGGTGGCAGAGCAATTGAAGAGCTCATCTGTTTGCCCTGCTTCAGTCCTTGTGAGTATATCAGTGTGGTGTTCAACTAAACAGGCCCAGGTTTATTACATGTATTTTTCTGGACATTTTTGTTTGGTGGTTTGTTGTGGGGTTTTTCTAATGTAGAATATGTGCCACTACTGTAGAAGTAAGAGTAGTTTTATTGGTTGAAAAGAACTACAAACAGGAAGTGGTTTGCAAAGAAAAAAAACCATAAAGTGAAAACATCCATGGTTTTATGACTGTTTTAAGTGACACATCCCTTATCGTTTCTGCTGATATCCAACTCTCGCTTTAACAGAAGAGTCAAACAAAGGACTTCCTAAATGTCATAGTTCATAATTCTATCACTGTAGTGAACATGATGGACCGAAATGGATGAGTACATCATTGTTTTAAAAAGCAGGGCCCCTCCTGCAGTGTTTCTTAAATATACCTCCAGTTGTTAAAATACAATTCATCATTTGTAAGAAAAAAGAAAGCACAAAATATTTCATGTGGAGTCCCTTTCAAAGCCTTCAACTGTTTTCACGACCCCTTAAGTGTTTGACACAGGTGTCTTGTTTATTGTGATGTTCACACAGTAAGGTATTCTTTCAGCTTGTCCATGATGACCGGCATCCTGTCTGCTGGTATCAACATCACCGTCCTGAAAGGCTTCATGGGAACGTCATCAAAAGACCAGCGACCACTCAAGCAGGAGTCTGCCTCCTCCTGGACGGAGTAGTGAAACTTCAAGATGGCTTGCTGTGTGGAAACAAATATTGTAAAGTGTCAGATTAGCTACAGCTCTGGAAAATGGTAAGTAAGAGAAACACAAATATCTAGGGTTAATTTACATGTTGTGTGACTGAATTCAACCCTATGTTCATTTGCCTCAAAAACAGCAAAATATTCAGATGCTTTTAACATTAAAGTGACATCACCTCATAGAAGAATTCCTCCTCTGCATTGACAAACATGTACTCCTCCTTCGGAGCACCCCCTCTGGCTGTTATATTCTTGTTGGCCTCTTTGCAGGTTTTGCTGATCATCAGACAGTAGTGGCATTTTCCACTGGGCTTATTGGTCCTCTGAGCTTCAGCCATTTCTTCTCTGCATGACAAAAATTAATATTTACTTGTATGCATTCATTCTGTTTAGCAATATCATCAATAGTATTTTGATATAAGCAACTATTTTACCCCTAAATATTATTTAACAACAGCTTGTTATGGTTAAAACAGTACTTAAGGAACCACTAAAGCACAGTAGCACTGAACTCACTGGAGCTGTTTGTGAAGTGGGAGGGCGATCTGTGGAGGCACGTTGATGAAGCGCTCACTCAGCAGAAGTCCCACAGGTTTGCTCGTGTCATTGAGGACCTTCTCCAGGAGTTCTGTTGTGCTGTGGTTCGAGTTCTTCCCACATTGATCTAGGATCAGTTCCTTAACCTCCTCTACGCACTGCACATCCTGTCGGCAGCAGGAGATAATGATGCTTAGCATATAAACGAAAAAGTGCATGAAGACAATAAGGTCAGAAACAGAACAGCCGTCACCTTTCTTTCTGTTAGGTTCAGCATTGTGATGAACCCAAACACTTCATCTGGATCTTCGTCGTCACTGTCCTCCGGCACCTCAGCTTGCTGAAGCAGAAAAACAGCACAGATTAAGACATGTGGGCTTGAAATGTTTGAAAGTATATATCTTTTCACAAATAACAGTACATAACAGTATGTGAGCAGAAACCTGAGCATATCACCTTGATGACACTTCCTATGTGATTCTGCTGGATGATGATATCAGTCATCTCTGATGTGTTTACATGAGCCTTCAGGAAGAGCTGCAACCAAAGACATGACAGTTGACATTATTATCTTTGAATATACAGAGATGCTACAGATCACTGATTTTTTAAATGGCTTATAACAAAGTGCTGTAACAAACTTGCTGCAGTAGTTTCTTTATGCCATTGAAGTCGTTGACGGAAACGGTGTGGGCTTCAAAGTCCACCATAACTTCCTGCACAAAAACAATAACACAGTAGTGTGTTAGCAAACTCAGAATTCATTAATGTGTGCGTGAAATAAAACAATCCATTCGTGCAATAAATTTACTTGTTCATATGAATATTTTATTTTATCATTCACATATACATCGCTTAAGTCTTATTCTTTAAGGGGAACATAAAATAAATATTTGTATGACTAATTTTATTTTTGTTTTGACTTGTTTTATTCTGCAAAAAACCTGACACCAACAATAAACTATGGTGAATATGATTGTACATTCTTATGATTTAGTATTTCTCTTTTTGTGTAGTTAATAGTTGTAAAACGCAAGATAACAACTAATGCTCGACAACAGCTGGATTAGCTACTAGCCGGCTAGCAAGGCCACTCAACGAAAATCCTTTGCTTTTACCTCATTGACTTCCTCATCTGATGCCTCACTGCCTTCCTCTCCGGAATCGTCATCTTCTTCCAAAATTTCATCCGAACTGTTGTCACTCTCTTCAGGGTTTTCACCCAAACCCACCGCTCCTCTCTTTGCCGAGGAAGCNTCTCTTTGCCGAGGAAGCCATGCTGCATACAGAAAACACGCGTGTCGACTGAGTGGGCGTGGCTCGGGTTTAAAGTTCGGTGAACATTAACAGAAACAGACATTCTGTGTCCGCCATCTTGGCTCTAAATGTTACAGTCTCAAGCATACGGTTGCTGTGTCAGAGCCGAAATGTCGTCCATTGACATTCAGAAAAATGGAACGAACCATTTGAAAGGGAGAAAGTTTGTGTTTGACGTACTCATTGGGCGACACACTGTAAACCTCAGTTCATGTTTGCTGTTCAAATCGTTTTATTTTTCTGATAAGTTTTAATATAACCAAGGAATTGAATATTATGATATTTTTAAGCCTACTCCTATATTTTTCTTCGCTTTCTTGTCGCTTGCCGTCTTTAAGTCCGGAAGAAGTAAAATTATTTCCTCCGGTCTGAAGGACAGGTTGTATTCCTGAGGAAGTGTACCCTCAGTATCATTGTTGTTGCCGATGTAAACAATAACACGAGTAAACGTGATGTACAGTTTAACTGTATAAATCATTTTACGTTGCCTAATTTAATCGCGGTTGTTTAAGGAGTAACGACTGGGCAACACAGCTGTTATCTTCAGACGACATGTGTCACTTTCTGGGTGTTGTTTAGTTTGCTGTCTTTCACACCCACTCCCTCCCTTGTTTTTAAGAGCTGCAACACTTTATTAGTTTATTAAATGTTTTTGGGCCAGCGTTAAGATGCACGTCCTGCTACTTAAAGAGCCAAAGGATGAGTTCGGACCAGACCCTTACATTACGGTACAAGTATTTCTTATATATTAGCCACAATGTTATAGTACAGGGTAAATAATCAGTATATAAGCCTTTCACTGCACCTGACATTGTTCCATTTATTCTACAGGCGCTGGCAACTCACGGTCACAAAGCCACTTTAATTCCAGTGCTGTCATTCAAGTTTGTCTCATTAAACACCTTGGCAGATAAGGTAAAGTAATGTCATTTAAGTGTACATTTAACGTATTCATTTTTAAAGTTTTGTGGGCAAAAGTAGAAATAATTGAGACATTGTTGAAAATCAGATTTTACCTTAAAGCCATACAGATACATTTCCTTTTAGGAATCAGTATTACATATTTTTGATATTATAATGACTTTACAAAATATTATAGATATAGAAAGCCTTTGTTATTCATAGGGCCTTTCCAGTAGTTATTATAGAAATACAACATAAGGTTGCAAAAGTGTCAAAGTGATATTTTTATCACTTAGATCCTGTCATGCCACATTTAGTTGTCTTAGATGGCTAATGATGCCTTTTTTTCCAGGTGTTTCAACCAGAAAAACATGGCGGTCTAATATTCACCAGCCCACGAGCAGTGGAGGCTGTGAAGATGTGTTTAGAGGCAGAGGACAGAAGAGAGGGTGGGATAAACATAGCATTAAAGGCGTACACCTACAGTATGATAGGTTGAACTATCTCTTTAATCTCTGTTTCTTTCTTTTTTAATTCAGAGTGGAACAGATCTGTGAAGGACAAGTGGAAAACCAAGTCCATCTATGTGGTTGGAAAAGCGACTGCTGCTTTAGGTCAATTATGTCCCTGCTTGAAACAACCTCTTCCCAATTGTCCATTCTTTGTGTTCTGTTTTACTATGTTTATGCTAATTGTATCAGAGTGTGGCAGGCACCTGGTGCTGGCAGGGAAGTGTCAAATGATGGTACAAGGCTGCTCACAGTTGGCTGTGATGCAGGTGCAGCACAAACCTGACGCGTGTCATCTGTGTGATCTCTTTGTTGCCAGTTTTGACGATGAGAGTCTTATTTGCTCTGCTTTGGCCTGAGCAACCATTGAAGTGCATGTCTTTTTATTTCAGATTTGCTTTTCTTTTTTTCCCAACAGTACGGAATCTGGGTCTGGACCCTGTGGGAGAGGACACGGGGACAGCAGACGTCCTCTCACGTGTTATCATTGAAAGTATGGTACTCTCTTTTCAGCTCGCTTTAATTGAAAATATAATATATGATTTGTCTGATAACTAGTATAACCTTTCACCTCATCTCATCATCCCATCAGGAGAGGACAGGAATATTCGCCCACTTTTTTTCCCCTGTGGCTCAATCAAAAGAGAAGTCTTGCCTACAGCTTTAAGGGATAACGGTAAGTGTTTCCTTTTGTTGTGGCTCACCATTAAAACTGAAGATGGTAATATTCCCGGAGGGTTAACTCTAATTGGGCAAAAATAATTGAGACACCTCTTTAACCTAATGTTGGAATGGTTCTTTGTTTCCAGGAGTGCCTCTGGAGACACTGACTGTCTATCAAACAGCCGAACATCCAGATCTGGAGAAAAACTTAAAGAACTTTTTTGAAGAGCAGGTAAAATTTTCTCAACTAATTTAAATATTTACTTGTAATTGTACAAAATGTATTTATTTTATTTTTTATTGAAAGGGTTCTCCAGGAAGCGTAGCCTTCTTCAGTCCATCAGGAGTTAAATTCTGTCTAGATGTGATCCGTAGGCTGAGTGGTGACCAGCTGACTCAGATAAAGGTATACTGCAGTAAAAATAAAGAAAATACTAGTCTGTACTGCATCTGAAAGCCTATTAAATAAATATCTGTGTCTTCAGTTTGCAGCCATTGGAACGACTACAGGTGATGCCATGGCAGCAGAAGGCCTGTGTGTCAGCTGTACAGCAGAGAAACCAACAGCTGAACACCTGGCAGCAGTGATAGCCAAAGTTCTCCAATAATTGATCTCTGAAGATCTTATCCTGCCCTGTCATATTGTATATTTCTATATTTGTGTATATTTAAACTGAATGTATTTATATGTTAATGTTTAAACGTTAATTTCAGGAAAGACACAGCAGTTTTGTGTAAAGAAGTGATCATCCATTCAGTAGATCGCAGCCCAAATCCTGCCCACTGTACCGTCCAATCTGGTGGATCCGTCCAATCCACAACAGGATTCCAAAATTGTAAGCATCAAAGAGAAAATACTGTGTGGTCCTGACTATTAAAAGCACTAAAAATACCTTCAGTTTTCTAATAAAATATACAAATATAAAAACAATAAACATCAAATAATAATGTGGTAAAAAGAAAGGTGTCTGTCCAGTAAATGATGGTCCTCCGACAAATATGCTTGATGACCCCTGGTGTAATTTGAGAGTTTGCACATGGTTGTATTTACTTGTTGGAGTTGTTTTGTTGTGTTCAAGTATCCTGATGAAAGCAGAGGCAGTTCAACACCAGTTCACTTAAAATCGTTGGAGCGTGTATCACACATCTATAACATCCACACAGACCAATCAGTGACAGATGTTTGCTCTTCGCCCAAGGATGAGAAAAGTAGGAAGTCTTCAGAGAGTCGCACCCTCAGCTGGGTGTGTGAGATGGTAGGATGCAGCTATAAAACACCGCTTTTCCTTCTATCAGCCACCACATTTGGATCTTATGTCACTACAGAACCCAACACCACGATGCTGACTTTTACCCAGCTGATATTTTCTCTCTGTCTGACCAGCATCAGCTCAGGTGGTGCAGAGAAACTTTTCCACAGCCGAGACCACTCCGACATCCAGACCCTTACATCTCACCAGGCTCAGGATATAACAGACACCTACACAGCAGAGGTGACCGCTCACTGTCTTTGAAATTTCCCGTCTTATGTAAAACATTTTGGAACTGCTTGTAATTTCTATCTTGTCTTTTGAATAGTTATTTCTCTCCAGATATGGGTTCATGCAGCCAGTGGACTGGGAGGAGGTTCCGTTTGAAGATTCACCTGTGGATTTTAATGATGATTTCCTTGATCTTCAAGCCATGATCCAGGAGGGAACGCCAACGTTCCATTCCAGGAATTCTCCTCAAGATGGTGTTGAAGGTATACACAAGAAACTGAGTCAGAGTGATGCATTTATTTCAGCACTTAAAGAGTTCCAGAAAGTGTCTGGCCTGCCTCTGACAGGAGTGTTTGATGAGGCCACCAAGTTGGCCATGAACAAACCCAGATGTGGTGTCCCTGACAAGGAGCTGGACCTGAGCGCCCATAAAGATGATAGCATCTTAGACAGTGAGAGTGGTTTTAGTGATGATTTTAATGAGACGGACAGCAACTTTACATCAGGTGACATAATTACCGACCCTTCATTGAGGGCATCAAACACTTCTGAAGACAACACATTCAACTTCAATGACACAGATACTGACCTCGCAGCTCTTTCCAATCACACAAGCACAAACAGCACAGAGGATTTCAACATATTCAGCGACGTGGCTGCGGAGAGTTCAAATGACACAGTGACACACAGTCAAGTGGGGAACGTGGACACAGACGGCAGACACCAGAGCGAAACAGTCCGGCGCAGGAAGCGCCACCTCGCGGCTCTTGTGTCCAGAAGCAGACGAAAGAGGGACCTGGGTTCCACTGGTTACATGGCCTTTTCCAAGATGGTGCTGAGTTGGAGGCTCATCGGTGAAGGCTACAGCAGTCAGCTGTCGGTGGAGGAGCAGAGGTACATCTTCAGACTGGCCTTCAGGATGTGGAGTGAGGTGTCGCCACTGGAGTTTGTGGAAGACACGCGTTCTCCACTGGAGGACGTTGACATCAGACTGGGCTTTGGCACAGGTCAGATATTACAACTAAAGGCCGGAACTATAGTCTGTGAGAACATCATCAACTATGTTAAGAAGCAAATAACGTTGTTTTTTTTTAAAGTCAAGTAGGTTTTTACTTGAATAGGCCAAATTGATAAAACACTTTTTGCCCTAGGAGAACTACAAAAATATTCAAATTAACATTATCCACCGACAATAATATATTTAGACTATATGAACAAGAAAAGTATGCAGAATGAGAAATTTATGAAAAAATTATTAACTTTTTGTGTAAAAAAATTGAGTCAAATTATTTGGTCAAAAAATCTTATTAAGCTATTAGGAAATATATCCGACCTTGACCAATGGTTGTCAATCCACCACCTCTGTAAATATTTGCCTCTCCAGGTACCATGACCTGCATTGAAATGCTGCTCTTTAAATTTTATATATTTTTTCACTGATCCAGACTGTCACCTTCTCTCACACAGGAAGACATCTTGGTTGTAACCAGAGGTTCGATGGAACTGGTCAGGAATTTGCTCATGCCTGGTTCTTGGGTGACATACACTTTGATGATGACGAACATTTCACTGCTCCTAATACTGGCAGTGGGATCAGCCTTCTCAAGGTAAGTACTTTACATGAAATATTAGTGTAAGCATAGTACTGTGATCAAGTTTAATATACAGTATATATATGTATTTACTTTGTTTTGTAGGTGGCAGTTCATGAGATTGGTCACGTGTTAGGCCTCCCTCACATATACAGGTCTGGGTCTATAATGCAGCCCAGTTACCTGCCACAGGGCTCTGGTTTCGAGATGGACTGGATGGATAGAAAGGCAATACAGAACCTCTATGGTACGAGGCTACAGCACCATCTAGTGGACACATATACACATAGCGGTTATTTTTGCACATACTGTAATAATAAAGTGTAATTTGTTCTCACCAGGTGTGTGTAAAGGTGGGTTCAACACAGTTTTTGACTGGATCAGGAAAGAAAGAACGCCGTACGGGGAAATCTCCATTCGCTTCAACACCTATTTCATGAGAGACGGTTGGTACTGGCTGTACGAGAACAGAAATAACCGCACACGTTACGGTGATCCCGTGACCCTTCAGACTGGTTGGCGTGGGATACCTGCGGACGGGGTGGATGCATACGTTCACGTATGGTCCAGGAAAAGCGATGCTGTGTACTTTTTTAAAGGTAACATGCATTTATATGTCACAGTTGAGATTCTTTTCTTTCAGGAGAGCTAAAGAAAGTCTTGCTGTTCTATGCAGGTACTCAGTTCTGGAGGTATGACACTGAAAATGACAAGGTTTTTGCGCAGGACCCAGGAGGACGTCGTTATCCCAGGCTAATCTCCGAGGGGTTTCCAGGCCTTTCTGGTCCCATCGACACGGCCTTTTACGACAGGAGAGACTCTCACATCTACTTCTTCAAGAACAGACTTGTGAGTGTGACAACATTTTTTCAAACCTTTTTGTTTTCTTTTTGTTTATTAAATATGAAGAAGTCAGAACACAAAAGGAGAATTATAACAAGTGTTAGCTAGTAGCATTGTGAAGTGAAGTGGCAGCTACGTTTGAATAAAACACCATCAGACAAGAGCTCAACAAAAGCCCCAGGACATTACATTTTAATTTTTTGATTTATTACAAAATTGCCATAGAACATGATTAAAATGCCACTCCTGTCACATTAAGTTACAGTTAATTACACAGTTAGGCCTTTGTAAAATTTTCAATTTATTAAATCTCTGAAGTTTTTAATCAAATAAGGTCTTTGGGTGGTTTAAATCTCTGAAGTTTTTAATCAAATAAGCACAAAATGCCACACAGAACAGGTCTTTGGGTGGTTCCAGGGACAAACTACACACTGTGTATAATGCACTGAGGGAATTATAAAGTTTGGGACAAAATCTTTTTAAAAATATTTCACGTGTGATTATGTATTGACAGAAATTCAAACAAACAACACATTCTTTTGCAGTTTTCCGACCTTAATATCTCAAACTAATTATTAGTTTCTGAATATTTAGAGGGCTCATCCAGGCTGACACAACACATAGAGTACACTTCCTGTGTGATTTGTTTCCTTGTTGTTATTGAATGGACCACAGTGAAAGAGGGGGAAAAACAATTATCTGTTCAAACAGGTGTATGCATTCAATGTAGCAGCCAACAGCTTGGCAAGAGGCTTCCCTAAAAACATCAGGGATGTTTTCCCTCCCGTGGTGAGCGGAGACCATCCAGATGGCAACGTTGATGCTGCCTACTTCTCCTACACCCACAATGCTCTCTTTCTACTTAAGGGCCAGCGTTTTTGGCAGGTGGTGGGCAGCCGTGATCGTTGGCGCTGGCCCATTCTGCCTCGTAATGGCCTGCTGCCACACAAGGAGGTAAATCAGCATTGGTTGGACATTTGTAACGTTCACCCCACTGCACTCAAACTGAGCCACTGAGACATGGGAGAGAACAACCCTGGAGCTGATAAGACGTAGCTGTTCTGGTACGTTAATAAAACTGTGGGGCTGTCCTCAGTGCAGGACATCCTCTCCTGTAGTATTGATCGTTGAGCAGCATGGGCATAGAGGTGTCAGACAAGGAAGACTTCTTCTTCTGCTCATCTTAAGATTGTTGGATGGTATTTGGATGGTATTTTTTTTTCTTTTCATAGCAGATACCAATGAATTGAGGCTGATACTTTATTTGAATACTCGTACTCAAAAACGTGTACCAAAGCAGCGATCTGAAACTCGGTAATGGCTTATTACAACTGTGTTTTTTACTGCAGTTATTGCTCTGTGGAAAGTTAAATGAAGTACTGTAGGTAGATAATGTCAGCAGTTTGGAGGTATTTCAACATGCGGGACAAAGACTTACTGTAATATTTGTTCTGTTAGATACTAGCAAATAATTAAACACCTGAAAACTACACTAACACATTAATGTCTCAGTTTATCGGCACAGTAGACCTCCACCATTTCCCACAGAGCTGGTCCACCTATGTGCAGTACATAGTACATGCCTTCTAGTTCATTGCATATTTATAGAAACACTGCATAAAGTACAGTTTTGGTATTGAAAATACTAGTAAGCTATTGGTGAAAGAGTACAACCCTAGTGAAGTTATACCTACATGTCTGATAGTACTTGACTATGTCGACTGTTTCATTAACATCTGCAGTGAAAGCATGAATCAGTTACTTTCCTCTAAATCACCTTCAGAATCTCATATCCACAGACAGCTGCAGGTGTCTGTGGATATGAGGATAACGTCAACATCCAAGACATGTTACACATGCTGATGCATCCCTGCAGGATTTAGGTAAAGACTTAGAAACTTCTAAAAAGTGTGGTCTGTGAATCTTATCTGTAGATCCATTTATTTTTTGGAATTAGGGTAACTGATTTACACACAAACAACCAAAGGGAAACCTGAATGTGAAATGATTGAAAAGCAGGCTCATCTCCTGACTTAATGCTGTTCCATTTCATAGTAATCATTTGAGCAAGGTGCAAAGAAACAGACATTGATTCTGTGATCAATACGTTACTTGAATGCTCTTATTAATATTAATGCAGACCCTCAGCTAAGGAAGGGCCTGGAAGGCCTCAGATAACTAGCGCTGTGCTGCAGGCGCTCCATCAGCTGTATTAATAAATTGAAGAAGAAATCAATTACAAGCAAAAGAGGGGGGATTAATATGGAGCCACAGAGATGGCTGTCACAAGATGATGAGTTTTCTTTTACAGAATGAGCTTCTTTCTCTGCGCTGCCATTAACGGCATACAAATGGATGTAGTTGGTCTTTCCCTGCGGAAGAAAAAGTCTGATTGACCTCGTTTTGTCTGTCTGATTTTATTTTTTGTGAATTTAGAGTATTTGGGTGACAAAAGTTGGACAAGTCATCAAAGCTTTGAAAATACTTCATATTAATATTCATATCAATTAGGGACATTTTAGGAACTTCAAGGACATATTTTGAGTGGGCCTAATGAGTGGGAGCTAGTTAGAGCCTAGTAAGGGATTTATAAACACAATTCAGTTTCAGTATGTTTTATTCTAAGAGGCTGAAGCATCAGCAAATACCACGGGCCACATGCAGTTTTGTTGGGTCACCATATTTCTAGTGAATAACAAAACGAAGCTAAACATCCAGCAGTCTGTGCATTCAAAAACACAACCTGTCTTAGGATTTATCTGCGTGTGTATCATGGGATAGATGTTTCAGATAAACCAGCCAACTGGAAGCTAGCAAGCTAACTGGAGTCAGTGTTGCCTTCACTGTCCAGCATTGAATGGTTAAGTTGGTGAGGTGAGGAATAAGTTACACAGTTAAAGCATAGGAAAGTTAATTACAATAAAAGACCATTGAATTTAAATAATAATGAAACAATAATGAATAAACAACAATAATACAATGAATAAAACAAAAATAATAATTAATTAATAAAACAATATTAATTATGAATAATAAAAATAATAGTAATACATTTAATCTGCTACTGAAAACAGTAATGAAAATTTTATTAGTAGTAATTTACTCTAGTATTTCATTATTACTGTTATTGCTACTACTTCTACAACAAATAATTATTATTTTTATTATAAATAATATATATAAATATATATAAAAAATAAATAATAGTGTTCTATATCATACATAATTATAGGCATATGTATATATTTATATCAATACAACTTAAAATAAATAATAATGTTTCCTCACCTCATCTGGGTCTCCTGTTTTGTTTTATTTTGTAATGCAGCATTTGTGCCTTAAGAATGACATCCATGGTTTTTCTGACAACAAATACAGACTTTGTGCTTCACATCCTCATCACCTGTTGAAAATTTGACCAGAATTTGTCAGCGCAGTGGCTCTGTGGCTTTGTGGCAGAAACCCCTATATAAGAATAAATGATAGGCTCATGTTAAATGCATTATAGGGGGTAATGCACTGCAGTGGAGCATGGTGATCTGTTTGTTTACCCCAGTGGAGAACACCGTGCACCTCCTGTAGCCTGAGGTTGTGCATACAGAGGATGCAGGTCCTCGGCTGCCACACTGCACGGCTCAGTGATCTGTGCTGTCACCGAGGCTGCCGTTCCCCGACACCGTGGGCCGCTTTGGATGCGACTACTATAAATGAGATCAGTCATGCTGATAGAGCCTGAGCTGCAACAGCCCCTCGAGAAATAAAAAAAAAAAACCTGTGTCATGTCGGAAGAATCCACATGGGAGGCACTTCACAAACAGGAAAACTGAGACAAAACCACAGCAGCACACGACCAAAATCCCTCAAACTCTGCCAAGACAAGTCGATGACAAACGGAATCACAAGTGTGACTGCGCGTGCTTCATGAGATTTGTTCCACAAATCATGAAGATTATATGTCTTTGACTGTGAGCACGTTCTTTACTTGATGAAAAACATTTATATAGTAAAAAGATTACACATTTCTAACAGCAGTTACTGTGTTTTTCTCTGTGGGTTACACTTTACCAACCGCATGAATAAAACTAATTATTGTTTCTAATTTTATTTCTCAATTAATTCTAATAGATTAATGCAGGTTCTATGCCGACTTTATTAAACAAAAGAAGAGACACGTGTTTACCCCATCGAGAAACGATCAATAAAAGAAAATTACATTTTGTGACTGTACAAGAATCGTAAACCGGTAACCATGGCAGCCGTCACCGAGTAGAGTCGCTTCCCACATGTTGTTCCCCTTCCTGTGTCTTGACGTCCCCTATCCCCTTAGAATTAAATCCAGACCTGTTCGTTTCCCCTGGTGTCTTACAAACGAGGAGGGTTTAACGGCTCTTCATTCCCATGTATCATATGAAAACAGATGGACAAATATGCTGCTTGACTCGTCCTGTGACCGTTTTGACCCTGAACCATGTCACAAATTGTTAACAGGAGTGCAATCACGGAACGAGGCCGCACGCCAACCCTCGGCAACTCGTTGATAACACGTTGGCAGCACGTTCACACAATGGGCTGGACTTAAACCAAGTGCTTATTGATTAAAGGGGAGTTCCAATAATTTCTCATTGTTACTGAGTGTGTTGTGCTGGCAGTCGACGGAGGAATCTGAAGTGAAGTGACACCCCTCCCCGTCCCCACCCCTCCCTCCCCCGTAGGTCGATAAGCTATGGATTCTTTGCATTTAATTATTACAGCCCAAACAATATTGTCTCCTGAAGTATTGAATTGAATTCTTACCCAGTCTTAATAAACACACTAATGAAATTAATAAGCAAAGTCCTATAAGGTCATAATTATACTGTATTGATTATGTAAAAACACATCTTCTTATTCAGCTCTTTAGACTATTAACTCTCTATGTTGTACTGTATGCAACAGAACATCATGTGATCAGGTGACACTTCACCTCTGATGAGCATCCGTTACCTTATAATTAATAATGGTCAGTAGGGGGCAATCTCAACACACCATAGTGTCAATTTCATGCTCCTGTGCAGAGTTAGAATGGTCAATATTTCTTTTTCAAATATTCAGCCTTTCTTCGGCTTCTGATTGATTTCAGTGATGCATTGTAAAGCAGGTGTCCTGTAACATATGAAAACATACTTTATGTTTTAATAGAGTGAATTCTTTATTTAAGTATGTTAGAGTTTTAAATGCATGTGAGGCAGCAACTGCTGGAGTTGAAGGGGCTGAGGATGCTGGCATTTTGATGAGTAGACACCAGGATGGAGGGAGGTTGAAGGGAGCAGATCAGAGGAACAGCCAGAGTTGGAGATAGAGTTTGAAGATAAAGTTAGAGCGGTATGGTTGAGTGGTTTAGACATGTGCAGAGGTGAGATAGTGGATCTGTTAGAAAGTGTGTCAGAAGTGGAGCTGCCAGGCAGGAGAGAAAAAACAAGATTTTCTGGACATAATGAAATCTGACATGAAGACGTCGGTGTAACTGTAGAGGGAGCGAGAGATTGGGTGAGACAGATGATGCAGCGTCACGAGGGAAGAGAAGAAGATGAGGAAGGACGGTGGAATTACAAGATCTGAAACATTAATTCCATTCAACAGTGAAGTGGCGTTAATGCTTCTTCTTCTGTCTGTGCTCAGAGCGTCGGTGTATTTTGAACACGTCAGGTGTGTCTCGACAGCAGCACAAGAAAAAAAAGGAATTCTTTCCATATTCTGCAAGTGTTGCTGTTGTCAGGGGCCTGCTGCGAAACTGCTGACGCGCATGTCTTTTGAAATGACAATTTATGGAAATACAGTGCATTTTACCTGAGTACACACGCACATTTTGTGCGACATCCCACTAAGTTTCCCTGCGTATCTAAAAAGGAGAAATTGTTGCTGCTGCCAAGGATTTCACAGCAGCAGCAGCACCCAGCTCTGGAGTGTGGAGAAGCATTTATTTCGTAGTAATAAGCCTGGGATTGAGACTTTCCCTGAAAAGTGGATTTTGAGTTGAAAGTTGTTTTGAGCGTGAACTCTGAGTGGCCTCGTTAACAAGGCGTGTTTCTGTTTCTGCAGCGCCAGAGTTAAATGTCCTTGAAATATCTGAACATAAAATTCTAATTTTATTTTACCAGACCTATAAAATATATATACAGTTAACTTTACCACAGTTAGAGTCTGAGCATAAAATGTCTGGGGAAATCCACAAATGCTAAAACACTATTTATAAATGAGCTCAGGTGAATTCAAACATTAACCAGTTATATAAAGCTATATGATGCCAATATGACAAGGATAAAGATTAGTTAGATTAGTTAACCATAGCAAGAAAATTAGTTAAAGCAACAAAAAAAAATTGGCAAAAACGTTTCTCCATTCATATTTAGCATTTAGAAAATAAAAAGTATTGATAGAAAATAAAACTAAAATTGAACCAAAAAATGACTGATTATGTACTCGTTTGCAGCAAATGGTCTTTAAAATGTGAAGTACACAAGAACACACACTCATGAGAGACTCAAAGAGAGACACACTGACAGTTAACTTCACGTCTGCCTCTGAACTTCACGCTCAAATCATTTGGTTTCAAAAGCTTTACCATCAAACAGTTTCAGGCCAAGAGTTTCTCACCAGGGATCTTTAATGTTGAGAGAGCTCAATTGGATTCATCATTCAAATACATTTAACTTTCAAGCAGTCGTTACACTGTGAAGAGGGCGGGGGGTGGGGGGACATTCTTTACGTGATGAAAACTGTGTAAGTCTGCAGCTAAAAAAAAAAAGCAGAGAACAAACAACTGACGTTCTGTCTCCATCTGGGTTACACATGTAGGCAGACGTCTTCATGCCAGATGAGAATGGTACAGTAATTACATGTCTTCTCTGGAGACTAGTTCATTTATCAAACAGACTCATTTGAATGAGGAATCCAGACCATGGTGGTGTAATTAAGCTTTGTGTACACTGCATGCATAATGCAGAATTAAGGTATTGACTAAATACCTGCTAAACAACACTGCCATACCATAAGCTGCCCCGCCTCCCCCCACTACCTCCCACCCATCAATGGAGCCAGGGCTGATAATTTGCCTCCATAAGGGGCAGAGGAATCTCTCCCACCCGCGGCAAGATGAACCTTGACCTTTGGCTAAGGGGCAGTTTTGAGGACATTGAATAGAGTCTCTCTGGTAACGTCAGTGTGAATGGCAGCTGCGGGTCACCAGGGGAGGGGCGAGGCTGTCCCACGCTTGACCACACACAAGTGACGGCCTGGCTGCCGATTCACTTTTTAGCCTGGGAAAGTGACAGGAGATGTGCGTACGGTGCTTGACACTGTCAAAGTGGAGCAAATGAAGTGAAAGGAAAAGTGTGGATACGTGAGAGGTGTCACATAATGACAGCTCATGCTGTGAGTTTCAAACTGGTAAAATTGACCTGAGTTTTTTTGTTTTTAAAATCATATTTGTGTGAAATCATTTGTTCATTTTACTATCATTTTCTGTCTAAATATTTTGACATATTTTTGTTGTGAGCTGAATTTCATTTTCAGTCTGACAGGTAGAAACGTTTGAAAGACATCAAATTATTAAAAGAAACAACTTAGATGAAGTTTTACAGAAATCACAAACTAAACGCTGCAGTGTCAGAACATACAAATTATTTGCAATTATTTAAAGAATATTTGAGGCAGCAATGAGGGCTGAGACACCTCAGAGTTCTTATTGTAAAGATCTTAAAGATCCTCTCGTATGCAGCTGATTTACTCACTGTCCAGGTCTGGTTTGAGGTCCACCAGTGGACAGTGACTGACCTGTAGTGCTCAGTTTATTGTTTTTGTTTGAATGACATAATTGCATTTAAATGTAACCCAAATGTTGGATTAATGCGCTCTCATCATTGGCTAAACATACATTTAAACTACATTTATAGCATCCCCTGCTGGGGAGGGGAAAAAGAAAAATTGCATATTATACCTTTAAGGCAGACATTCTTAAAATAAACACTAGGGAACGCAGACATCCCAAACAAATTAAACAAAGTCTA